TATGGCGTGCCGGCTCGCACCGCACGTCTGCCCCCCTCCCTGCCTCCTCCCTGCCTGCCTGCCTGCCTGCTGACATGACAGACGATGCAGTCTTCTTCAGTCCACTGGTATCATGAACGTATTTAAACCATTTTAGCGTTACTTTATGTAGATAGCGGGACCGCAACCGTGGTCGCCCGGTTTCGGTCTCGGTTTCTCGGTCAGCCGGTTCATACGCTTGACATACAGACGTTTCGCATAATTCTCTTTGCTTGTGTCATCGTTAACGTTTCTGTATGTTGCCTCCATGTTGGGTCATGTACATGTACGGTTTGTACATACCAATGACGAAAAGTTATGTGTAAATTTTTTTCTTGTCACGTGATCGACGGTTAACGATGGTTTATTATTTATGAATACCTTTGGGTAGGAATACGAAATAAATCTGCATCACATTCCGACAGAGTGCAAAATTTTGTTGTGAACTAAAACACCTCAACTTACGTTTGTACATGCCAGAATAAAATATCGAAAAAAATCATTATTCGCTAGCCGTTGTTACGTCAACACTAAACACTTACTGTGAGTTTCGAAACTTCAACAGGTAAAGCTGCAATCGCAATTGCAACTGAGGATTATGTCCGTACTCATGACTGTAATAATCTTAAGATCATTTCTTGAGTTATTTATGCTGGAGCATAGTTTTTCATCACAACAGTCTTTGAAGAGTTAACTCTATTGCAGAAAGATTTAGACTTACGCAAATTCGAGCTTATGCAAATTATTTGAAAGGGCCTTGGGAAAAACTTATAAAACTTACTTATATAAAATTTCCTGAACGCGCGCCTACAATACTTGCCCGCCAACCAGCAGGAATTTTTTTCCCGCAAGACAGGAGCCTTCGGGGTGTATGCGAGTGCTTTCCTCAGTTTCGCTTTGTTTATTATTGAACACGGACGTGTTGTGCATTTGTATTCATACATTTCATAATTTTCTGTGTTTGCGCGAGCTGTAGCAAAATACTTTAAAAAGGAAACAGAAATGTGAAAAGTAGAACGCATGTTTAAACGCACCGAAATCTTATCTAGACTTGGAAATAAAATTTATCAAATAATATGAAGATGACAAAACTTGACGCCATAAGACATGATCTGGGTCTCACACACCACCAACACTGAATACAAGTGTTAAGAATATTATCTGCAAAGAAAAAGGGACATGAACTTGATATCGAAGTATTGATTGATTCTCATGGAGAGTAGTTGTCAAATGAAGAATTCATTGAATTAGAAGCAGCAAAAAATTCTGAAATTCAGGCTTTGGAATCAAAAGAGGAGCCGAAAAGATGACGAAGTAGATAATAATTGTGTACGACGAAATTTCAGCACGAATGGCAAGACTGAGGGGGGGTACATGGATCCCAGTACCTCACGGATTTCAAGATTAACAGTCTAAAGATACGTAAATTACACTTTGAAAGAAGCGACTGTTCAGTCATCTCTTCATAAGGAATATCGAACGGCCAAATTTTTAGGGTTTTTAGGTTATCTCTTTCCTCATACACTAGAAAATTCAAAAACGGTAGCCTTCCATTTTCATTGAGTTTATCTGTGAATCAGATCTTCTCGTGGACGTTTCTCAGGTGTTCCCGGAAGGGGTCCAGTTGGTTGCGGATGGCAGCCACAGGACCCAAAAGTCATCTACATATCTGTGCATCTGGACGAAGCTCCGTTGCTCTCAGGGCCATTTTTTTTCGAAGTTTTTCATGTATGTTTCAGCGACGATTGGAGATATAGAAGATCCTATGGCACAACTGGTATGGTAATTGTACTGTTTTCCAAGTGCCAAAAAAATCGATAGAATTTTGGAGCATCCGACTGGCTGCGAGAGGATCTTCTCTTATCTTCTCCATCCGGGCTTGTAAGGGAAATTTCTCTCTGCTGGTTAGCCGATGTTCTATGATCTTTAACGTGTCTGTGATCGGGATTTTAATGAAGGAGAGACGATGTCAACATTTATCATCTAGGCAACTAGCTCTTTTAACGACCGTTGACTCTTCATTGGATCAACGGTACTCCGTGTACGTCTGCTTTTGTTTGATATCAGAAGTTACTTCGGAATAAGGACCATGTACGGCACGTTAGTCACTGGATTTGGGCTAGGATAAACCACAAGGGAACGCCAACCCTATCGATTTTTGGAGTTCATAATAGTACAGATTTCAGCAATAGTTCAGCCATGATCTGAGAATTCTAATAATTTTTCTGACCCTGCTGATGCCCAAGTTTCGTTTCTCGTTTCTGAGGATCTGAATCATCAGACTGGTTAGCTGTGTGGCAACCACTCTTCTTCGCAGAATACGATCCTTTGTCTCCTAATGAGTTCAAGGAGTCCTCCTTTTAATCACGGAGTTCTAATGTGCAGCTACTTTTGCTTGCATGTAGGATGACATCCTTTTCTTTTTTTTTCTTCTCCGCTTCTTCTTTTCTTTTTCAGAGAGGCCTGTACTTGAAATAGTGTCCTATTTCTTCACCGAAGGAAATGGCTGGGCTCTATTTAAGATGTTCATAGTGCCATTGGTGATATCTTCCAGTTTCGTCAATAGTTGCCTATTGGCCCCTAACGTGAACTCCACACTTGTGATGGTTCCTTCCATGAATAATTTCCTTTTGGAGTAATGAGAATTTCGGCTCTGAATCCAGGAGGTTTTCCTCCTACTTTGTTATGGGCATGCCGCTCAGATTGAGGACACATTTACCAGTGAGTTGAACTGTGGGTGTCGCAACGTTTTGATTAGAAGTCTGCAGATCTTGTTGAAATAGGTCAATCCGTAAAACTTTTCCCTCTCTTGTTTTGCTTCCATCTTGTTCTGTGACCATTGTGAAGTTGGCATGGTCAAGTGATTGTTGTGGGAATCGCAACAGTGATGTTTGTTGATTCCTCCAAGCAACTTCTTGTCGACTCAAATGCCATGTTTCTTTGCAAGTGATTTATGGGTCAGAATTCTGCTGTTTCTGGGTTCCCTGTTGCGGATCACTGTAATTCCAATTACCCGTCTATGCATCTTTTGCGAAAGATTTTTTTCATTTGCTTCTTTATTATGAAGTCATTTACCTGCATATATTGCAAAGATTTTGACAGCATGTTTCTTCCATATCGCCATTCGATAGCCGTTTTCATAGTAGGTGGGCTAATATCGTCTAATTTGTTTGGTTTCTGCGGTTGAAGAATGTGAGTGAGATTCGTAACAATAGTAAAGACCTTATGAGCCAGGTGCTATGCCATATTTAGACTCAATTTGCATTGGTGTCATCTCTATTCGTGTTGTGTAAATTTAGCTTTATTCGATGTTATGTTTTTTCGCTGTCGACTAGTTAGTGTTTGCTAACACTATCGTGTATCATTTATGATTCACGTGGCAAATGTCGTTTTTATTTAAACTCAATGTGACGACTGATGTGACCTGTTTCAGACTTTATTCATTAAAATCGAGGGGGGTGCAGTTATTTCCTGGATAACGCATGTTCTACAATAAATGCATCTTGAAGTGGTAGCGTTAAAAATGTCGGAATTAGACGTCATGATTAAAGATCAAAAAACATATAGCTTTAAAAGAATATAAGTTATTATAACGGATATGATCTGGTGACCTATTCCCACATCGCTTTCGAAGAGAATAGAGGGCAGAGATGCGTAAGGGAACAATTATAATCAAGGACAATAATAGATAGAAAAGTGCCATGCAAAACAGTGGGATCTGGAATTAGAATTCTAAGAAGGAATAAATCAGATCAAAGGGCGCCACAAAAATTAGCTAACGACTGCTACCATAAAATTGTCGTCGTTTGCAGCCGTTTTAACATTGTTCATAGCATATCTTCCCGAGAGAGGCTTCCTACCCTGCCGATCTTCAAACTCCTTATTAAAACGGAATTCACACAGGACGCCAGATTATGAACGCTTCTTGACAATCTTTCAGTCGAGTTGCATCAGTATTCAAGGTATAAACGATTCCACCAGAAAACCTGCGAATCAGGCTCTGGCAAATCTGATGTACGGTAGCTGATATGATGGGAATGAGGAAATTAAAAATTATGAAAGCAGAAACGGCATTGCACTTAGAGAAATATTTCATAAAATAATGGCAGAAATACATAAAGTATACATTTAGTCGACCTGCCTAGACGGCATCCAAAGTTCAGAGCACGTGCGAATAGGCATCGGAGAAAGGTAAACCAGCGGATTAATCTACACGCCAGGACACTTTACTTTCCAAAATGAGAAAATTAAAGAAACCAAAATTTACATTGGAAGAAATAATCAACATAACGATTATCTGCCAAAAAATACAATTACAGAAAGTGCCAGGAGAGACGAGCATGCTGTGAGAAAAAATGTATAAGTAATTTTCTGCAAAATGGAATGATATTTACTAAAATACAGGAAACCAAAAAGAACGGAGGTACAGATTTTGATTCTAAACTCCAGGAGCGTGAAGCTGTTAGAATGTGAAGAACTTGAACACAGATGAAACGGTAATACTGTTGGTTTTTACAATGCGAACGGAGAAACGAAATTGCTTCATGAACACGACATCGTACTGTTTGAAGAAGTAGAACTACAGCGGGCATAGATCATCGATATGACATACATCGACGACAATAACGTCTCTGCAAAGGGGGTAGAAAAGTCACTGAAATTTCAAGAAGTGAAGATGGAACCTGAAAAATTCCAAAGATCAAACATCGAAATAATTCTTGTTTTGATTTGTGACCTCAGATTGATAGGAAACGATTATAAGTCGAAACCCGTGTAAAACGATTGATAAAATTATTAATATGAACATAACGTCGACGGC